GGGCCTGAGAGGGAAACAGACAAGACAGTGCCGCCAGCGCAGGTCTGCGTATTGTCGGGTGTTATGTGTGAGTGTGTGTGGGCGGGCGGAGGTGTACCGTGCCTAAGTTTAGGTGAGGTAAGTGTAGGAGGCAGGTACAGTACAACGGGACCCCCCTCCCCCCTCCTACCTTAAGCTATCCACGGCAAAGCATGCCTCCCCCAGCAAAGCAAGCCAAAGCCAAACCAAACCAAACCAAAGGGCAAGCACGCACCGCTCGCACCCAAGCAACAGCCCGCCCGCCAGCCAGCCAGCCAGCCAGCTTCCAAGTCCCAGTCTCAGTCGCGCCTGCCCCCCCTCCCTCCTGCGGTCTTGCCCTCGCCCTCCTTCCCTCTCCCACCTCTTAGACTACCGTACTGCGTAAGGCCCATTTTCCCACGCCTTCCCCTCACAATCAGCCGTCCCATAGTAAAAAGGGCACCTTGGACCGCCCCCCATACAATTTTCCTCCTACTCTCTCCTCTCTTCACTCCCACAGCCAAATCTCCCATACAAACTCTCTCCCATACAAATCCGCACTCACTCACAACTCGCAATACCTGCACCAAAACACAACTCCCATACAAATCGTGAGTACCTCTTCCCATACTGCCCTGCACTGCAAAACACAAGTCACTCCACGCCCCCGTCGCCTTTTTGCGCCCGTTCGAAATCCGCAGTGCGTTTTTCTGCAATTGGGTCGCCGCAGACCGCGCTGGGCCCTCGTCAACAGCAGCGAGCGCAATCTTAGCAGCACCAAGAGCAGCAGCCAACGCAGCTTTCGCCGTGCACGCGCAAACCACAACAAACAGCAGTCATCGCAGCATCCACACAACAAGCTTGGAGTCGCGATCACTCTGCTTGACGGGCGCGCGCGCAACACAGCACAACACCAAAACACCACACTTTTCCCATTTTCCCAATCCACGTCCCAAATCGCGTATTGTCGCATAGATCGATTGATTCTGAGCTTCAATTTACGGTACCTTCGCGTTGGCGAGCGCAATTGCGTTTGCGACCCGACCAACACTACGCCTTGGCACTACGCCGGGGAAGCTCACCCATAGCTTCTCTTTCGGCTGCTGGGCACTTGTTGCGGTCATCTATGCAACGCTTCGATTGAAAGCCATCTTTCAAACGTCGCGACACCACAACACCAGCCCTTTACCCCACTACCACCATTCCTCTGCACATTAAGCTACGGATTCAATTGATAGGCCAAGGCACCTTGAACTAACAAGCACCTCGTCACAGATCAATCATGCCTAAGGCCGCGGCAAAGAGCAAGACCTCCGGTAAGGTGGAGAAGGTTCGTCGAGGCAAGAAGGGTAGGTCTTTCCCCCAGCGTCCCAACGCACCTTTTTGGACGACCTTGACTGACGAGTTTTCTAGACCCCAACGCCCCCAAGCGTGGTCTCTCTGCCTACATGTTCTTCGCCAACGAGCAGCGTGAGAACGTCCGTGAGGAGAACCCTGGTATCTCCTTCGGCCAGGTTGGCAAGATCCTCGGTGAGCGCTGGAAGGCCCTCAACGACAAGCAGCGCGCCCCGTATGAGGCCAAGGCTGCTGCCGATAAGAAGCGCTACGAGGATGAGAAGCAGGCCTACAACGTATGA